GGGGGGGGTGAAAAAAACTGGAGAAGGAAGAGAAATATGAATAAAGGGGAGAACGCGATGTTTGACACTCCTGCCAACAAAATTTCTTTTTCCGGATAGTTTTTTGTGTTTTTTTCTCATATGTAAAAAGCGGACCCAGATCACGTGGTTTGACAATTGCTTAAATTAATGCGTTTTCCATTCAGACGTTAAATATGGCGCTGTTTACTCTTCACTGCTGCGGAAAAGAATACAATGCCAATACAGGATCAGATTAAAGAGGAATGAGAATTGAAAATTCGAACCGGAATACGGAATAGGGAAATCGAAGTCCTTTAATCACAGTTTGGAGCAGAGACGATTCTTTGGAAAGCTGTAGGGAGAGGGTATTCGAACTTGAACAGCTGTTTTGTTTTGTTAAATTCTCAAAGACCTGTGCTATTACACGGTTGAATTCCCGTAATGAAACGGTGTTCGTGTTTGGGTTTTTTATATTCAGGTCACTTTCCACAGTATGCTTTTTTCAGGGTGTCAAAACTTTATTTAAGCGCAAATCTTTACTACAACAGCGTAAGTCTTTTTGCTACCGTTCAAGACAATTTAAGACTCAAGAATTGAACCTTGAAATATTGCTAACTTTCTCTATGAGGACCTGAGAGTGACACCTGATTGCAAAATTATCAGCGAAAATCAAACCTTTCAGACGTTTTAATCGATGAGAGGGATATGGGTGCTTGGGATAAATCTAGAGGTAGATATAGATAGAAAGAGAGAAACTTAGAGATAGAGAATGAATGAGAAAGGTGGAGAAAGATAGGGAGAGAGAGAGAGAGAGAAGGGGGGAGAGCGAGAGAGAGAGAGGGCGATATATACATATATATATATCTATCTATCTATCTATCTATCTATCTATCTATCTATCTATCTATCTATAAATACATATATATATATTTATATATATATATATATATATATATATATATATATATGTGTGTGTGTGTGTGTATATTATAAGTACGTGTACACGGAAAAGCGTTGGGGCGGGGGGCCAAGGGTGAAATTAAACAGAAGCTCATCAACATACTGCCAGTCTTTAAGTGTTTAACAAAAATTGGAGAACGGATCCTGAGACCGCCGTACGTTTTCAGCCAGTGTGTTTCTTCGTAAATGAACCAACTTTATAAAAAAAATTTCTCACCTGTGCCCATGTCGCCTCCAATGGATTTGTGGGCGTGGTTGACCAATGGCGGTACACTGGATCTCGACATTGCTGCCTCGTCTCTGCTTGGTGACCTTTCCGTGATGGTACAGGTGGGGGGAGCCTGTGAGTTAGGATAAGGGTTAATGATGTTGTTCACTCACCTCTGTCTGTCTGTCTATCTGTCTGCCTTACTGCCTATCCATCTATCTATCTATCTATCTATCTATCTATCTATCTATCTATCTATCTATCTATCTATCTATCTATCTATCTATCTATCTATCTATCTATCTATCTATCTATCTATCTATCTATCTATCTATCTACCTATATCTGGCTCTCACTCTCTCTTGCTTTCTTTATTTCTGTCTCACTCTCTATCATTCTCCCTTTTTTTTCATTTTCTGGCTCCAGCCAATTCCCCCCCCCCCTCTCTCTCTCTCTCTCTCTCTCTCTCTCTCTCTCTCTTTCTTTCTTTCTCTTCTTCTTCTTCTCTTTCTTCGTCTATTTTTGTCCCTCTCTCTGCCTCTCTCTCTCTTTGTCTCTCACACACATACACATACACAAAAAAACACACGAACACAAAATAAAGAACGCAGCCAAACACAAACAGTCATAGATACACTCGACACTATAGTAAAAAAAAAGATCGCTCAATGAAATGGGAAAAAGTTTGAATACGTCGCAGCAGGTAGACAGAACTTACTTGGACCAGTTGGGACGAATGTTGTGGGCACTGTTGTCGGTGGCACCGTGGTAGGAGGAACTGCGGAAAATCATAATCATGAGAAGTTGATAAAGCTGTTAAAATACTGCTTTAAGTGCGTGTCTCTTTGGTGAGCTCTGCCTCTCACGTATCATTGAT